TTTTTTTTTTTTTTTTTTTTAAGACAGAAATCTTTATCACCTTGAATATTTTAGTAGAACAAATTGCAGGCATAACTCAGGAACTAAGTAAATGGTCATCTTGGTATGGGGTGTAGTTGGTTTGAATAAGGCTTATCTAGATTTTTGTTATTAAGTTGATTCTGCCTAATTTCTCGATTTTAGTGTGTAACTTCAAATAAAAGTAATGTAACCATTGTGGTGTATCACAGATCTTGTTGATTTGTTTCAGTTTTGCAGTCACTAGACCAGGATGCTAGAAAGGAGCTAACACCCCTAAAATTGAGAGCAAAAGCAGCCAAATTTGCAAAATCAACCGTCAAGAATCAGATGGCAGCATTTAAGGTCTCATTTTTATTTATGAGTCCATTCAGTTAAAAAAAGAGAAAATGGTTGCAGGAAAGATGTTTTCTTAATGGAAGTATATCTACTACTCGCAACACGCTCAAATTCATTTTGTTAATGCTCCAAATAGCTTGAGTTGTGGGTTATATTCATTTATTTACCCCCTATATCACGCTTGTAAGTTTTATTCTTTAAAACATTAGAGATTCTAATATTTATAATTGTTGTGATGACATGAGTATGTTCTGGTTATAGCGTTATGGCATATGGGGAGACTGGGACCAGCCATATCTCACTCTGGATCCAGAATATGAAGCTGCTCAGGTAAAATTGTATCATCATTTAAAATGTCATATTTGGATTTAGGCGAATTATGACTAGGATGGATGTATCTGTTTTTTTGTTTTTTCTGATATATAAATTAAGCTTCACTTACCATTTTGGTTGATTAATATACACCTACTTCATATATATAATACACACACACACATACACACACTGTTCTTTATTTTTTTCTATTTTTGGTTAAGTGGTCTTATAACTTTCACGATATGGTTCATGTGAACTATACCAGATTGAAGTGTTTGGCAAAATGGCCTTGCAAGGGTATATCTACAGAGGCAGGAAGCCGGTTCATTGGAGCCCGTCATCTCGAACTGCCCTTGCTGAGGCTGAATTGGAGGTAATGGATCTTTCTAAGCTTTTTATAGGAGAATAGCTTGAGAAGTTCGTTTGGAGAAATTCAAATAATCATTGGGGGAGTCATTGGATATGGGAAAAAAAAATAATTGTGAAAGTTGATCGGATAGTAAGACTGGTGAAATAAGATAGAGTGAATAGTACTATTACTATTCAACCCAAAATACAGGTAGTGAAATATTAGTAAGTAATAATATTTAGTAATTAGTTAATTAGTAGGTGTTGGTCATAAATATGTAAGCCCATTTGGCATTTGCGGAGGATAATAAGGAATGAAAATGAATTGTCTAGTTTTCTCTTTCGTCTCAAGTCTCTTCCATTTTCTTCTTCTTTGGAGTACACACTTGCATGAAAATTGTAATATTCTGTACTATCAAGCCCGGGTCGTATCAGTTTATGATATGCAAACACAATGGTGACTGCTGATGTGATTTTCTTTTTCTAAATTTATAATTGAATGTGTCAGAAAATGAGTGGCGAATGTTGTGGTTTTTTTCTTGAAAGAAAAGTTCTCACAAATAATTTCTCTGGGACCATAAAATATTCATGAAAATATAATCACTGCCGTAGTTTCTAATTGGCTTCTACTGTCTGCAGTATCCTGACGGGCATGTTTCGAAGAGCATGTATGCCGTTTTTAAATTAACCAGTGCCCCTACTTCATCTAAAATGCTGGATGAATTCATTCCCAATTTGGGATTGGCTGTTTGGACGACAACTCCATGGACTATTCCTGCTAATGCTGGTAATATATTCATCATTTGTTATTAATTAGTTTTTTCTTTTCTTTCATCCTCTCTTTATTCTGCTTCCTCCTTTAAAAACACTGCATTTTAATATGAAACTAAAGGTAAAACTTTTGTTTCGGTTTTCCTTCCTTTGCCCCTTTTCTTTAGAATTCATCTTTCTTTGTGTTCTTCATTTTTGGTTAGCTTACTGTATACTTTTAAATTTTTTGTATATTCAGCTGTTGCTGTCAATGCAAAGCTCCAATACGCCGTTGTTGAAGTTGATGCTAATAACGTGGGCACCACTTCATCATCAACCGGTAAAGAGAAAAAAATTGGGAATATCTTGAAGGAACATAAGAAACTGTATTTAGTTGTTGCATTGGACCTTGTGCCAACTGTCGAAGAAAAATGGGGTGTGAAGCTTACTGTGAAGACCACACTTACGGGTGCACAACTCGAAAATTGCAGGTTCTATATGAGTATATGCTTGAAACTACACCAAGTCTAGCTGTTAGTAGCTTTGAAATACCATTATAAAAACATCAGAGTATGTTGAATTACCAGTCTCTTTGCAATTGGTGGAAAACACTTCTTATGACTGATTATCATATCTTTGAACCAGTCTTTGTAAAATATTTTTTGATAAAATGGTTGATTACAGAAAGTTTTTTTAGTGTCATTTTATTTACTTATTACTAAATGATAGCCTTTCTTATTTCGAGTATCCCCCTTGGTATATCCCGATTTTGCACAAATTAAATCTCTTTCAGGTATTTGTGAGGAAATACTAACTCAGCGTGGACATTTGAGATTGTGATGTAGCATAATTTTTGTAATTAAGCTAAACATCAGGGGTAATTTTTATAATTTTACCCTTTTCGATGAACATGTACTCCACGCACTCCCAGAAGCCTTCAACCTGCATGATCCCAACTCTACCCCGTACCATTATTGGGTGCTATCATCTGGAATTTGTTAAATATAATTACATTTATTTATTTTGTATTTTTTTTATTTATTTATTTTTTGAATTTCAGGTATGTTCATCCCATAGAGGGCCGAGAATGCCCAGTCGTTATCGGTGGGGATTACATCACAACAGAATCAGGAACTGGACTGGTTCATACTGCCCCTGGCCATGGTCATGAAGATTACATCACTGGCCTCAAATATGATTTGCCTGTTATATCCCCTGTGGACGATGAAGGTGTTTTCACTGAAGAGGCTGGCCAATTCAGTGGTTTGAACGTGCTTGGCGATGGCAATATTGCTGTTATCGAGTGCCTGGACAAGAACTCATCAATGATCATGGTTGAGCCATACAGTAAGTTGAACTTTGGATTTTCTAATCAGAATTGCCATTTTTGTAATATCCTCATGTTATCAGGAGGAACAAAATTTTCTTACGTCTGCGCTGTACGTACACCTTTTAATGACAAATACAGAACACAAGTATCCGTATGATTGGCGAACAAAGAAGCCAACGATTTTCAGAGCAACTGAACAATGGTTTGCTTCAGTGGAAGGATTTCGTAATGCTGCTATGGATTCAATTGATCACGTAAACTGGATTCCCCCACAGGTAAATCAGCTAGTCTGTGTAGTTTTCATGCGCCCATGAAGGACTATTTAAAGATAATCTGAAACTGCTTTCTTGTTCATCAACCTTAACTAATCAAAAAAATTACCGCTGATATTATATCATAAGTTTGAAAAAAGTAAATAAATAAACCTAGTTAAGTGACAAACAACTTCAAAATACTTCTATTCTGCATAAGAAACTCTTTAAGGTGCATTTTGTGAAATAGAAACAATGTGAAGTAGGAATTTTGTAATTAAGCTAAACCGAGGGGTAGGTTTTATAATCAACCCTTAATCCTCTTACTGTATGCCTTACCAAGCTTATATGTGTCAAAATGATCTTATGATTTTAATAGGCACAAAATCGAATTTCATCTATGACGTCAAGTCGTTCTGATTGGTGTATCTCCCGTCAAAGGACTTGGGGTGTGCCTATCCCGGTGTTTTATCATGTGGAGACAAAGGAGCCATTGATGAACGACGAAATTATTGATCATATTAAGTGTAAGTTCATTTAACCTTTACACTGTTGCATCATTGTATGTTCTTTTTGTTTATGGCCTCTAATGTGATTTTGTGCAGTTACACTCCTTATTCCTAATCACTCATAAACTTGTTATATATGTATATTTTATTGGGGATCTTGTTGATAAGGCCATTGCTTAGGTAATTTATTGTGAAAAGGCTACTTTTTCTTTTAATTCATATTTCATCCACAATTTACTCATTATTCATTTGATTTGATATGTAATATATCAAATTAATTGGTTTTCATGATTTGCAAATGTACATCCATATTGAATATAAAGATTAAAAAGAAAATAAAAAATTTATATTTTTTACCGCCCAAGTATTTGATACCTACGAATGATTTATTGCTTAATTCAAAAGGTATTTTAACATAAAAAACCATTCCAGAGTTGACCTATTGGCCATCTTTTCAGAATCTGCCTTCAAAAAATTTACCTTTCAAGAAATTACCCATTGGTATGTCCTTTTCATAAAGTAAGTATTTCAATAGGCTAGTTGATATATATGGGCTAGGTACGAGATTTCTCTATTTTATTCTTTAATGTCAATTCGTTCCCTCCATGGAGCTTCCGAAGTTCTTATCCTTAACATAATTGACAAGCTGAAAAAAAAGAAAAGGAAAGAAAGAAAGAAAGAAAGGGAGATAATTACAAATAACATGCTACAATTGGATCTTTGAACTCAATATTTGCTCCGGCAGCAATAATTTCACAGAAAGGAAGTGACGCGTGGTGGTACATGAAGGTAGAGGAATTGCTTCCAGAAAGATATGGCAAAGAAGCATCTAGCTATGTAAAAGGAACGGATACTATGGATGTTTGGTTTGACTCAGGTAGACAATATTAGTATTTAATATAATGTATTTGTTTTTTCTGAAGTATATATGGCTTGGAAAGCTTCATAAGTAATAAAAGCACACATTTTCTCTGGTTTTGGTTTTGCTAATTATTACTTCATGTTATACTATCATGCAAACGATGATAACAATCACCGATTACATTAATATTATTTCCATTTGGTTATTTTAGGTTCTTCATGGGCTGCTGTTCTGGCAAAGAGAAATGATCTTAGTTACCCTGCAGATCTCTACCTTGAGGGTACTGACCAGCATCGTGGCTGGTTCCAAAGTTCATTGTTGACAAGTATTGCCACAAATGGTAAGACATGAAATAATGGTCCTGAAGATTATAGTTTAGTGTAACTGTACTACAGTTTCCGTTAGTCGCTTTTCCCAGTCCACAACTCATCTGTTTTTTGTGCTTAGGGGTGGCAAATAGTGCTATCATATCGTGTTCACGTATTACTATCATGTGTTTGTGTTATCTATTATATTTGATCACAAATAGGATAGTGAATTTAATTGAACTAAGATTTTTATTTCATGTTTCGCATTGTGCCCTGTCGTGTCTCATCGTGTCATATGTCCCTATTATCGTGTCGTGTTCGTGTTTAGTTTACTGTCGGTCATTGTTACCCCTGCTTGTGCTATTATACTTTGTACATTTACGTTTGTCCCATTAAGTTACAAACTTAGATTGAAAATTTAGCTAGACGCCCTCGATATTGATGCCACAAAACGTGATTTCTTTTTGTTAAGAATTTGATGTCACAAACTATTCTGCAGCTCTTTATGATAGTGTGACCAACTAATTACAAGGTCACACAATCCACTATACATTGAGACATAAGTTTATGGTGGTTTAAATATTTTATGACTGAGGGACAGTTTCATAATTTTCAATTAGAAAAAAGGTTCTCTACTATTTTTTTCAGGAAAGGCTCCATATTGTGGTGTCATTACACATGGATTTGTACTTGATGAGAAAGGCTTCAAAATGAGCAAATCTCTAGGAAATGTTGTTGACCCAAGAACTGTGATTGAGGGAGGGAAAGATCAGAAGGTATCTTATTCTTAAGGTTTTCTCTAGTTACGGAACATCTGAAATATGTTTCAAAATTCAGAATTCTCCATCTATCTTATTTTCTAATGTACAAATACATCTTGAATACGGTAATATTTGTTAAGCAAATGCAAAGCTCAAGTGACGTTTGTAATATTTTAAGAGGGTATTTGTAGTTTTTTATGAATGATTTGTTTTTGTTTTTTTGTTTTTTTTTTGTTTTTAATTTTTTAGGTTAAACCTCAGTGGTAGAATTTCTATTGCCTGTATATATTGTTTCTGAAATGCTGAAAACATTTCGGTTGGTCTTCCACAGGACGGATTTGGTGCAGACGTACTTCGCCTCTGGGTTTCGAGTGTAGATTATACGAGTGATGTGATGATCGGGCCTAGCGTTCTACGTCAAATGTCAGACATATACAGGAAATTAAGAGGAACTTTGCGTTTTCTTTTGGGGAACCTGCATGATTGGAATGTAAGCCTTTTTTTTTATTCCAATGTTTAGGTTTTTGATGCGGTCAACTCTTAGTAGCCTATCAATATAGCCTTTTTCCTGTATGTCTGCTATCAACTTCTTTTAGATTTTTCTTATATTACTATTATTATTATTATTTTTATTTTTATTTTTATTATTGTTTTTTTTCAGGCTGATTATGCTGTTACTTACACCGACCTGCCAAAGATAGATCAATATGCTCTATTTCAACTTGAAAGTGTTGTGAAAAACATCAAAGAGAGCTACGACAGCTATCAATTCTTCAAGATTTTTCAGGTACATTAGAAAATGAAGTTGATATCGTGACCTGTCAGTGTTTCATGCGATATTAGAGAATTAAAGCTAATTTTTCATATATAGACTAGGCAGATGATATAAGAAATACAAAAGTTTATCAGCTATTTTCATATCTGCAGATCATTCAGCGATTTGTTGTTGTTGATCTCTCAAATTTTTACTTGGATGTTGCTAAAGATCGACTTTATGTGGGGTAAGCACTATTGGCCTCATCAACTGCATATAATTTTTCATTTTGAGCTTCCATTTTGTTGTACATAAAGTATATCGAATTCTCTGTCATCTTAGTTCCATCATCATTTTCTTCAGACATTGTTGATGTAAAAAATTTTAATATAACCCATCAACAATATTTCTGTGCACGTTCATGACGTTCTTCACAAATAATAGATAACCTAACAAATTTGTTTTACCTCACAGATAAACTATTTATTACTCGTCACAAAACTAGATTTCTTGACCGGTGTCAATAATTGCTGAAATTACACTTGCACATTTATTTGAACATCAAAAGAAATCCGAGTTGCACTTTAATGACAACATCAAGACAAGGACTCACTTTATATTAGCAATTTTTTTTTGCTTATTTGGTTTTGCTTCCAGAGGAACCACTAGTTCTACGAGGAGGAGTTGCCAAACCGTCCTTGAGGCACATTTGATCTCCATTGCGAGGATTATTGCACCAATTTTGCCACATTTGGCTGAGGACGTGTGGCAGAATCTTCCTTTTCCATTCACTGCTGAAGATGGATGTTTGGCCAACTTTGTCTTCGAATCAAGATGGCCTTTGTTAAATGAAAGACATCTAGCGTTCCCAGAGGAAGAGGTTAATTTTTGGGGTACAATTCTTGAGGTAATTAATTCGTATATTTTTTAAGTGGTAAATAAATGTAGCTGCTCCATGCTAAAATTTTATAATACCCCCTTTGAGGTTTAGCATAATTTAAGTAAACCCCAAGTATAATTCAAAATCATAAAATATCCTCTCGAGTCTTTGCCTATGTTTCAAACTACAGCTAGGAAAGATTATATGTCTCAGCTAAATAGTAAATATTAAAAGTATCAAGGTTGTAACAATCAAGGTAGGTTTCTACTATTATTTATTTGTATTCGTTTTCGTTTTCCTTTTCCTGTTCATTTAAAGGTAGGCATCACATTTTAAAACTGATTCAAGTTACTTTGTTCAGCTGAGAACTGAGGTAAACAAAGTGCTTGAGATTGCACGTACGAAGAAGTTGATTGGTTCCAGTTTAGAAGCAAAGGTTTATCTCCATGCATCAGATGCTGGCCTGCTTTCGAGATTAGTCAACATGTGTGAAGCTGAAAATGATGCGGACGCGTTGCATAGAATCTTTTTAACATCTCAGGTAAATCTAATTTTCTTCCTCTTTCAATTGTTACTCAATCTCCTACAGAAGAAGGTTGAAGGTTGTTTGGTTAAATATATTATGCTGAATTATGATATAGTAGTTCCGTCAACATAGTATTTACTTTTGATGTTTCACCTAGTTACACGAACCCTCAATTATCTTTCATAATTGCAAAAAAACCCGTCCTCAGGTTTTCGTTACACACCACCAAATTTGTGTGTCTTAAACAAATATTTTGTTCATTGAGAGGATTGAATTTGTGAAAAGAGGCAAATATCAAGGGGATGTTTGTAAATTTCAAAGACATCTTTTTTTTTTTTGGGTAATTAGAAGCCTTCTGCAAATTGTTTCTCACTGCACGACGAGGAAGTCAATTACCCTTGCTCCCTTTTTTCTATTATAAATCATTCAATTTCGCTTCTTTCATAAAAGAAAAAGATAAAACTATAATGACAATAAATAATTACAAATAAAAAATAAAACGAAACCATTTCGATTGCTGGAAAATGCAGGTGGAAATTCTTCCTTGTGTGGACAATGTGAGCGGAGATGAGATACCCTGCACGGGAGAATATGTTGTTGAAAATCAAGACAAAGTGTGGATTGGTGTTTCACGTGCAAATGGGTCGAAATGCGAAAGATGCTGGAATTTCTCGCCTGAAGTCGGTAATTACCAAAACCACCCTACACTTTGCGGCCGTTGTCATGGTGTGGTTGTCAGCCAGCCAATCCCGGCTCTTGCTGCCGCTAGCTAGCTGAGATTCTTCTCAAAAGTTGCTTCATGTGGAAGAATGTTATTATTTTCGAGTCAGCCAGCAAAACTTCCATTGCTAAGAATATGGAGAAAAAATAATAGCTAATGTGCCTACACTTGACAAAGCCAATTGAGGTGTGTTACTGAGGCAGAATGAGTTTGTGCTGTTTGAGCATTAGAACCATTTTTAAGGTAAAAAATAATTTAAATTATTTTTCTTGATTGAGGTGTCGCATATGTAAATTAGTATATGAATCTCACTTAACAGTGATTTTGTAGGACATCATTTTATCGGTTAGTTTTGTTATAGAGCCAACAGTTGGTTCATAGTGGAGTCGACCTTCTATACATAAAAAGTAAAAAATAACGTATTTTTTAATTAATAGAAAACACGATTAACAACTATTTAATTAAAAAATAATTATAATTAATTAACAACTACTTAATAAGAAAATACATTTAATAACTACTCAACCACAATGAGAATAAAAACATTCATATTTTTAAATTCAAATTTCAAAAAAATAAATATTACAAAATGTATGTACTACTTTTTTAAATTGTATAAACTACGTAGCTGTACATATTATTATTAATTCTAATATTTATCTAAAATGATTCAAAGAATTTTTAAATGATTTTCAATTACAAATTAAAAAATATAATTATTTTTACTTTCTTCAGTATTGTTATATTTCTTATCAAGTAGTTGTTCATTGTATTTTTTTTTATTTAATTGTAAAATATGGTAGTTTTTACTTACTAGGTATAGGAAGTTGACTTCATTATGAAGCCAACGCTTGGTTCTATAGCAAAACTCACATCCTAGGTTTGCATTCCAGGATGAGATTGGATTAAAGTAGTCCAAATATGAAGGATTACACTGTTTGGATAAAATTAATCCTATGTTTGTTATATATGATAAGGATGGGTAACTTTAGCTTTAAAAAAAATGTCTAATTTTGCACAAATCAAACAGTATGGTGTAAAGACCGTTTTACCCATGTGAAATTCAACACAAAAACATCATTTAGTCCAAAAATTTAAAAAAAAATGAAAGCAAATCAGAAGTTTTACTTTTGATTGAGCCTATTCCACCCACAACCTAGGATAGAGATGTCCCAATTTCATGAGATAAATACCTTTTCATCCCGGGCCTAAATCCAGCGAAACAAACACGTTATAAGGGATAGACAGGATATCCTTGCCTATCCCACCAAACAAACGTGACATATGATGTAACACCAAAAATAACTTGGTGGACCCGCCTGACCGGTTAGCTCGAATAAGACCGGTTCAAGGGAGCTTAAAGTCTAATTTATGTGATACACGGTATTAGTTAAAGATATAAGATATTCATGAAAGTTGATGTATATCTACACAGTTATTAAGGAACGTCAGAATCATGATTTGTTGAGGAAACTCATTATCTTGAGGAGTAAGCCATTAAACCCTTTATAAATAAGGGACCAAGTTCATTTTCTAATCCTAAGCTCTGATGATTGCTTAACATACACGATCAAAATATATGTTTTCTGACTTGAGCGTCGGAGGACCCACCCCAGCGCTTTACAAGTCGATCGGGTTCTTGAAAACAAGGCGATCGAGACAGCCGGTGCTTTGCAGGTCGATCCGATTCTTGAAGACAAAGCGATCGAGACAGCTGAATTATCACGCAATCAAGATGAAACGATTCGACCGGCAACCTAAGCGAGTCAATTATTTTGGCTCATCATAATAGGATAACACCACTAATGAAACCATCGTAATTATTCACAAATAAGTATATTAACATTCTTTATCCCAAATAACAATTCACAAGTGTCCTTATCTTAAATTATAAATTATGGATGGCTCGGAGTCATCGGCTCCATAGAATTTCTGGTAATCCCATTATCATTAAAAAAGGAAAAAAAAAAAAATGGGATAAAATTTCGGAAAAAGCAATCACAGAAATAAAGGGGTGGAGAATGTTACGCATCTGCAAAAGAGTTTTATTCGAAGAAGAAAGAGGAAACAGAAACTCCATAGCCAAAAAAACACAGAAAAAAAAGGAGCAGTCTTTTTCCTGTGCCCACATAATTCTTGACAGAATTAGCGGTATAGATGAATCGCCAGACAATTTTTGTTTGACCCTTCATCACCCAGAAAAATTCTTGCCCTCATAAATAAAAATCCTCTATATTTAGCAAACACTTTCCTCACCATCGACTTCTTTCTCCCTTTTACCTCTGTCACTTTCTAACTCAGTCTATGTTGTGGTGCTTTAGTCACAGTTTTGCGTTCGCTTGTTGTTGAAACTGTTGCCCTTTTCAGTGTTTTTTTCTATCTGGGTCTTGTTGTTCAGCGTAAATAGTATTTTCTTGAATGAGATAGCATTTCGAGGTGCGTAAGATTTGGCTGAATTCTTGGTTACAAGCCGACAAGGTGAGCTACGTTTGATTTCTATAGATTGTTCTGCTCCTTTTGTTGTTTGGAGTTATGGGATTGTGTCGGCTTCATCTTTGTTAGCGCTGTCTGTGTGTGTTTCGACTTTCGAGTTCTGGGTTTGATAGGCTTTTCTCCCTGTAATGGCCTTCTAGATTTGTAAATCTGCGTGTTGATTGATTCTACATTTGATGGAGGGATTGTTCTCTATGGAATAGAGGGGAAAAGAAGAAGAAAAAAGAGCTATATGACAGTTACTGTCATTTGAGAATGGGATTGTGTCAGCTTCATCTTTGTTAGCTCTGTCTGTGTGTGTTTCGACTTTCGAGTTCTCGGTTTGATAGGCTTTTCTCCCTGTAATGGCCTCCTAGATTTGTAAATTTGCGTTTGGTTTTACATTTGATGGAGGGATTGCCCTTTATGGAATAGAGGGGAAAAGAAGAAGCAAAAAAGCTATTTGACAGTTATTATCATTTGAGAATAGGTTGGTTCTAATTTTTCAAGTTCTATATACTGTCAAGTTATGCATATTCAGCATGTTGATGAAATTTGATATAGTTGACCTTAATGTGAGTTTAGTGTCTTACATCTGGAGAAGGAAAGGAAAGGCGTAGAATTTATGGATACCCTTCAAATAAGTTTTGCCCATCGTCTGATTCATGGACACATACTTGAAAGTATATGCATCTGTTGTTTTGAGAATAAGAAAACTAGTGAACTTTAAGAATTGTGCACGATGAACTTTAAGAAAACTAGTGAACTTTAAAAATTGTGCACGATGAATGCCCAGCTTCTGGGAGGAAGTATTAAGATTGGAGTATGATGACCATGGTTTTATATCTTGTCCCCAATCCGCTGAATCGATGATTAATTTGTGCTCCATTGTGTTATTTTTGCCTTTTGACACAGCATAGACTTAACCCTCTTATATGATACAAAATCTAGAATCGAAAAAAAAAAGCATGATATGATCATTGATCTCTTTTCATGCATCCATACTGATCTGGAGAAGGAAAGGCGTAGAATTTATGGATACCCTTCAAATAAGTTTTGTCCGTCTTTTGATTCATGGACACATACTTGAAAGTATATGCATCTGTTGTTTGAGGCATGCACAATGCATGAACCTACAATATGTCGGGAATCGTAAATAGCATTTTAATACTCAAGTCAAGTATCGGATCAATATATAATTACTCAACTCATTTCGCTCTTTCACTTTTTTTCTTTTTTTCCAACAGCCACGATGTTGCATGGAGAAACCATAAATGAACCCCATGGGGAGATCAAAGTCAGCTTCGGATACCACTGCACCTCCAAAAACGACAATTCTCTCGACCAAAGGCCTAACTACATCGACATCCCTTCCCCCCACAAACTGAGTCGGGCCAGCAGCTCCTTCTCGTGCCTCTCGGGAGCTGCTTTAAGTGCCAATGCCACCTTAGCAAACACCAACATTTGCAACGGCTTAATAGGTTCTGAGATACTCCCGACCTTAGACTCCCCAAACTCCTTCCGCAAAATACCCTCCTCGACCAAGTTGGACTTTTTGTCTTCTTCCCTTCCCAGTAGCATGTCCAGTTTGAGCTTTAGTACTTCATCCCCAAGTGATTACGACTCCATTTCACTTAAATCCATGAGCGACCCTTCTAGAAATGATAGCTTTCTCAATCTGAATGAGGTCCAGATCGCGGGTGGGCCCGCGGGCGAGGATCGGGTTCAGGCCGTCTGCTCTGAAGAAAATGGCTGGCTCTTTTGCTCTATATATGATGGGTTTAACGGGCGTGATGCGGCCGATTTTCTTGCTGGGACTCTGTACGAGACGGTTGCATGTCACCTCAATTTGTTCGATTGGGATCAGGGATCAGCTGAACCGGGAAATGTGAAAAATCAAAATCTGGATGGTTTTGTTAAGCAGGGCGTTCTCAGTAGACTTCAGCATGCGCTTGACCAGGCGGAGAATGAATTTCTTCACATGGTGGAACAAGAGATGGACGAGAGGCCGGATTTGGTGTCTATAGGGTCTTGTGTTTTGCTTGTTCTGCTGCACGGGAAGAATTTGTACGTGCTTAATCTTGGTGATAGCCGGGCCGTGCTGGCTACACATGTAAGAGGGAGTGACGAAATTGATGGTTGGGAGCTTAAGGCGGTCCAGCTGACCGATAGTCATACGGTCGACAGTGAAGTTGAGAGAATACGGGTTTTGAATGAACATCCGGACGACCCCAGTGTTGTCGTGGGTGGGAAGGTTAAAGGAAAGCTGAAGGTTACTCGAGCATTCGGTGTCGGTTACCTGAAGAAGGTATATCAATTTTTTACTGGAATTTTTTCATTAATGGAACTTCATTTATATTCATAGGACTACCCCTGAAAGGTTAATGATTTATGAGAAACACACTGAGTTTTAATCTGGTTTGAATCTTAAGGTTTGAGTAGGAGACTATTTTATTTCTACAAATGTAAATGGGCTGTCAATCTTTTTTTTTTAATTTTATTATTATGAATATTAAAAGTTCAAAATGGAACTGGGAAATTTTTATTTTTGGATTTTTATTACTATGTTAACCTCAAGAGTACTTGATGTAAATTGTATTTGAAACTAAGATGTTGTTTTCATGTTTTATATGATTAATTACAAAAACTCTCTTGAGGTTCATTGTAATTACAACAGAAATTGCTCCATCTTTGAAATAACAAAATATGCTCTTGACATATGATTCTGTCTTCTTATGTATCACACTTCCAAGAAGGGTTTACTTGTTAAGCAAATATACAACTCAAAAGAGGAGTTTATTCTCAACATTGTAGGATACCTGAATTTTTTCTTAATTAGGCTAGACCGGAGGATATTTCATGTAATCTAAACCCTGCATGTCAATTATATTAAACTTAATTATTCAATGTATCTCATAGTTATTCCTTTTGTTCTTAGAAATGCATGAATGATGCTTTAATGGGTATTCTCCGAGTCCATAACCTCATAAGCCCCCCGTATGTATCAACACAACCGTCCCTAAGTGCTCACGAGGTCTCAAACTTGGACCATTTTGTCGTGCTTGGTAGTGATGGCTTGTTCGACTTCTTTACCAATGATGAAGTTGTGAAGCTTGTGAATTCTTACATATTGCGATACCCGTTTGGTGATCCGGCTAAGTTTCTGGTGGAGCAGCTTGCCGCAAGAGCTGCAGATTCTGCAGGTATATTTTGCCATCTCCTTTTTTTTTTGGTTAATTGCAAAGTTTGCCCTTGAGTTTGCTGTACTTACAGAAAAATTCTGGTTATTTAAAAGAAATTACAATTAGATCCTTGATTTTTTATTAATCGTAAGTTTTCCCATCCATGAGAAAATTGGATATGAGATTCTTGAACCAGTTTAGATAGTTCAATTCTTCTAATTTGGTATACTACTACTCTATCAATTGTTTTGTCTTGTTGGTCCATTAAAGATTGGTTTCTTATGTCATTAGGATTGTTCAGTAGGTAAGTGCAGCTCTAAAACAAATTCTACTATACACAATCTTAGTTTATTTTCAAAAAAATTGAATTATCCATCTAAAAATAATGATACTGATGGTCATATACAAGTATGTTTGTTGAAAGTTGTCTTTTCTTTTTTTTCTTTTTCTCCGCCTAAAGTGTCGTATTTTTCCAGGTTTTAGTATGGAGGAGCTGATGAGCATTCCTGCTGGCAGAAGGCGAAAATATCACGATGATGTCACTGTTATCGTAATTGTTTTGGGCTCGAACAAACGGACCTCAAAGGCATCGACATGCCTATAAATAACCGAGTCGAGCTCAAGCACAAATTCACGGGCCCTCTTTTTGCTTATTTTATTCCTTTTTTTTTCATGGCGATAGATATATATATGTGTTCATATTTAAAAATATCTTCGGAAATGCGAAGACGAATAAAATTGTTGCTTGATGATGAAGTTTGGTTGTCTTATGGAATCTTTTCGCAGTAGATAAAGGGTTTGGATGGAAAATTGGTTCTTTGTTCCTCGTGAAGCCATCACAACTAAACCCAGGAAAAAGAACATTTTTTTTTTCTTGATTTGTAGTCTAAAGAATCTCTTTTGCTCTTTTCTAATTAGAAATGTTTTAGCAAGTGTCTGATCATGCATGACCTTCATCTTATTCTTTGATTCCTTTTGATCTTTATATCTTCTAGTTCTGTCAAAATTTAATTTTTATTTTGGATTAATTGTAGTGAAAATCATGAACATTTTTGTAAATTATAGATTAAACGAAACTTTTTTAAGTTGATAAAAATACATGATTTTTTTTTTAACAATTCTAGATTAAACGAAATCTTAGTTCCCAACATGACTCTTCGCAACCATCAACGCACGTCTAAAACCACGCCGTTGCTGCACGTCCCCCGCACGGCGAAAATTGTGCCGCTACACATCGTCGCCCTCGAAACCCCAGCCACGGCGTTGGTGGCTGCCGACTGTGAAGTCCCGATCGTCGCACCGCCAACCCTGGCTCCCAAGCGCGTCGTCGCCTTCAGCCGCGTCTCGAAGCTGCTGCAAATCGGCGAACGAGTTGACCACATAGATGGTGTCCTCGTCGTCGTTATCGTCTGACGGCGGATGTGGCGATCCCGCCTAGACTACAGCCACTACGTCCACCGCGAAATCCCCGCGCACACTCGGTCCCCGGCGGCATGGTTCGTCTGCAAATTATAGACCACATTGTTAAGCGTCAAACCCAAATCCTCGATCCCCATCGAAAGATCGGCAAACCAATCCGCGAAACTCACGTCCAACTGTTGAAAACAGTAGTCGATCTGTTGAAACTGGTCCTTGAAGGTTGCTCCACGTTGTTCGTTTGTGGCATCTTGTCATCCCGACAGCATCGCGAATCGTACTGACTGCTGATACCAAGTGATGTAGGGAAACATACGAATGAGAAGGATAAACGAGATACTCTCTCGGTAAAACTCAT